ATCTATATCACCCAAAAATGTCTTGCCTGGACAATAAATACTTGTTGTAGCCAAAAAGGGAGATAAAGCAGTTATTCTTTTAACTTCTCCATTTTTCTTGCAGATCAACTTACCGTCTAAGTTCTCAGGGCACAGGAAGAGATGGCAGCTTTCTGCAGGGTGGGTAGGGGAGCATGTCTCCACTTCTGCCCTCCAGTTTAGGGAGGGGCGGCAGGTGCTCAAAGAAATTGAAATCCTTGACTCCTGTTCTTCCATTGGGTTTTTTTCTTTTGAGTTTAAAACAGTTTTCAAAGGTGACTCCAGAGTGGATGCTGGCGTTTCTGTGTGGCAGTGAATAAACCTTTTATTTCATATTTTTTACATTTATTTATTTTGCATTTCATTTTTTGTTTCTTCTGCTAGAATGGAACTCCACAAGGGCAAGAAGCTGTGACAGTTATTGCTGCATCCACACCAAGAGCCTTAAGCTGGTCCATCGTAGGTGTTCAGTAAGTGAACTAATAGCAAGGCTCGACTCATCTCTTTTCTTTTTGTGGTTGGCACTGGGGGTTGACCTCAAAGGCACTGGGACACTGAGCACATCCCCATCCCTATTTCATATTTTATTTAGAGACATCGGCTCACTTTTGCTGAGGCTGGCTTTGAACTTGTGCTCCTCCTGCCTCAGCCTCCTGAGCTGCTGGGATTACAGGAGTGTGCCTCTGCACCCGGCTCATCTCTTTTCTTTATAGCTACATTGGGTCCAATATTTGTGAGTGAGCTTTACTTTTAAAATACACAAGGGCCTGACCACTTCTCACTATTGCTACTGTTAAGCCCCCAACCCATCTTTCTTAGAGAATCCCAGTAGCCTCTTACCTGTTTTCCCTGTTGCGTATCAGCCTTGGCCTACTGGAATCTACTCTTCATTGCATATGGTGTTAAATGGTCTTATTCAAGCATAAATCAGAACATGTTCCTTGGGCACACAAATCTCTCCGATGCCTCTCCACAACAGACCATGGTCTGCAGAAGGCCCTGCCGCATCCTGGTCCTTGTTCCCTACCATTCTTTCTCTCACTCATGCTTTCTGGCTACCATGGCCTCTTGCTTGCTGTGGTTGGATAGTCACTTTTTCTCTGGACTCGGTGCTTTATCCAGCCTTAAACACTGCCTGGCAAACTTCCCCTTAGGACTTTACACCAGCTCTCTGTGGAAGCATCACATTTTTGCGAGGCCTTCCTTGACCAGTGGCCTGTCACTTCCCACCATCCCACAAGCTGTGCCTGTTCTAACTTACTTTCTCCATGGCACCTCTTCTTCTCCTCTCTCTTTTTTTTTTTAAATATTTTTTTTTTTAGTTGTAGATGGACACAACATCTTTATTTTTATTTGCTTATTATTTTTTTTTAATGTGGTGCTGGGGACCGAATCCAGGGCCTCAGGTATGCGAGGCAAACACTCTACAAAGCTACATCCCCAGCCTTGGCACTTCTTACTAGAAGTAAAATGTATTTGGTTGTTTGTTCATTGACTCGTTTCTTCCTGAGACAGTAAACCGCAAGAAGACAGGGATCTTTGAGCCGATTTGCCTTGCATTCCCAAGGTTCAGAAGTACCTGGCTCAGAGTGCTGCTCAGTAGACATTTGTTGAATGAACAAATGGAAGGCCCTTCCTGAGGTAGCACCGAATCCTTACTGGTGCCTGCACTGTATACAGGAGAAAGGAGGTGCCGTTGCATTCTAGGATGCAATGACGACTTTTTTTTTATATTTATTTATTCATTAGTTCTAACCGGTTATACATAACCGTAGAAAGCTCCTTGATTCATCGTACACAAATAAAGCAGAATTTTTCACTTCTCTGGTTGTGCATGAAGTAGTCACACAATTGGTGCAATCATACATGTACCAAGGGTAATGATGTCTGTCTCATTCCACTGCCTTTTGAAGGAATAATAATAAAGAAGACAGAGACAAGGTGCAGAGGCAGGAAAGTGGCAGAGTGGCTGAAAGACCTTTATTTATATCAACAGGTTGCATTAGGTCATTAGTACCACAACCACATTATTGTTCAGAGTGTCAGTAAGGTTGCTTGTTCTGCAGTTACATTTCACAGTTACAGTATGCAATGTCAGGAGCTTTGTGCAGTTCTCTGAAGTTACTGTTAGGTGGGCAGCTCCAGGAGCACTGGAGCTTGGTGAAACACTGCAGCTATCTAGCAAGCAGGTTCCTTTATTCCCTAAGACTAAGGTGAAGCTGATAGGACTCTAGCATGCAGGGCATTGCCATAGCCACTGGGCATCCTATGCCTTTGCACAAACTTTCCCAGGTACCAAGCATGCCACAGCCCTGAAGTCATCAGGGACCCCAATCCCAAACACACAACTCCTACAGTCTTTCCCACCCCTTTAGCCCCTCCCTACTAGACCTCTTTTTATAGAAACTTTTTTTTAGTTTTTAATGGACCTTTATTTTTATTTATTTATTTATATGTGTTGCCAGCATCCAAACCCAGTGTCTCACACATGCTAGGCAGGTGCTCTACCCCGATCTACAACTCCAGCCTGAATGGACCTCTTCTGTCAAATCAGAAAGAAAATCAAGCTGTTTCTTCTCTATAGCCCAAATTCAGTTATGGCATTAGGTTGGAATTATTAGAATTTCCCGATGTATTTTTTCTAATATCTGTTGGATTTTATATAACTGGAGTCTAACCCAAAGTGGTGACAAATGAATCTTTTCACTTGCTTTCACTGAGGGGTTAGAAGGTTCACGTTCACAGAAATCACTCCCCCTCCCTTTTTTTTGTACTAGGGATGAACACAAGGGGCTTTACCACTGAGCCTCATCCCTAACCCATCTTATGTTTTTGAGAAAGAGTCTGGCTGCATTGCTAAGGCTGGTGTTTTGAAATTGTGATCCTCTTCTTCTGCCTCTCAAGCTGTTGGGATCACAAGCGTGTCCCACCACTCCCAGCAGAAGTCCCCACATCATTCAGACAATTAACTCTTATTTCTTACCCAAACTCATGGTTTCTGGATTTGTAATCTTACTGGCTAAGAATCTGGTTCCACACAGTTTTGAGGTAATACTGCTATTCTCATATGTCTTTGAAGTCTGGCTATTTTTGTAAGGGGTTCATCAGCTATTGCTTTAATTTTATTCCTGTTCCTGTTTTCCCCATGTGTTCATTCAGTTCTTTATCAAATAGCTTGTAATTTGTGTATAGAGATCACTTTGAATCAAATGCCTGACCTGTTCCAGTGCTGCTGTTCAATTTTGCAAAGCTACACAAATATTTTCATTAGTTGGCTCTGAAGTTTTCATGCATCTAACATTTTGTTTTCTGAAAGCATCATCTTCTTTTGATTCATACTATCTATGTCAAGTAATGACTGCCACTGTGAGTCTGTGATTTTACAGTTTGAAATGCTGGAGTGATAGGTTCTACTGTTTTCTCTTTTCAGAATATTAGTAGTAGTTGGAAGAATGAACTGAATTCACCAAGTAAGGTGTAAAAAACATTAGTCTAGATTTAAAATGTTATATTGCCTTTTATCAAGTGACTCTGTCGTTTGCTTCTAAATTGGAAATCATCTTGTCAATGCTCTTATCATTCAAGTTATTTTTAACTACACCAGTCAATATAGTGGGTGGGCAGAAAATGGATTTTAGATTACAATTCTCTTCTGGTTCGAAACCAGTTTCTGTGACTTTTGTCAGATATTCAAGATTAGTTTCAGAAGTGTTCTGTAAATCTTCTGCCTTTTGTATAAACAATTTGCTGGGAGACTGTTGTTTTTCTTAGCTTTTGGAATGAATGACACACAACTTGTACATCAATGTATTCCAGTTGATATTGGAATCTATGATTCATTGTTGGTTCATTAGATCCTCAGGAACCACTCCACTGTGAGAATACTGTATCAGGTACAGTCCACTGGGCCTCAGAAGTCTCAGAATGTCCCCAGTTGCTAGTCTGACCCCAGTATTTTTCTTTTGCGGGAGCTTTTGATACCTTCCGTTGACTTCTACCTGGCCTTGCCGTCTTGCATATCCTTACAACACAGATGTTCAGGTGGGTTGGTTGTGGCATCTGCAATCCCAGCAACGTGGGCAGCTCAGGCAAGAGGATCCAAGTTAGAGGCCTGCCTGGGCAACTGAACAGGCTGGTTCAGTGGGCGCAGTCCACAGTTGTCTGACTCCACTGTCTCTGGGCTGGAACCAAAGCAGAGCATCACCGCCACCTGCCAGCTCCCAGCCAGGGCTGCACGTGTCTCTGTGAATGGTCAATCCAGCAGTCCGACCTTTCTGCACACGCACTTGACCCCGTGTTGTGGATCCAGTGGTTCACCCAGAGCAGGCCCAAAGCCTAGGCTGGGAGAAACCACCTCTCCTGCACCCCCAGGATCGAAATGGAAGTGGTATTTGAGTCACATTTCCATCAGTGTTGACTATGCTTGCTGTTTCTGAATCTGTCAACTTTACATGCTCTTTATCAGTCTTATGAAAATTAGGGACTGAACTCACCCCACCAAGAGAGTTATACTTTAGCTTAAAATATAGCTAGCCTAATTTTCTTATTTATCAACATAAGACTTCTTGAATTCTTGGTCTACCAGTAATTTGGTCTGATTGTTCTCTCTTTGCTAGTTAGAGTGTGACCCTCCTCATCCCCCACTCTTCTGTTTGAGAGCTACTGTTTTTTTTTTAAGCTAGTTCTGCTGTTTTCTTCCTTATCCTTCCACAGTTTGGTGGAGGCAAACTTTGTTTGTTTGTTTTTGGTACCAGGGATTGAACTCAGGGGCACTCAACCACATCCCCAGCCCTATTTTGTATTTTATTTAGAGAGAGTCTCACTGAGTTGCTTAGTGCCTCACCGTTGCTGAGGCTGGCTTTGAACTTGTGATCCTCCTGCCTTAGCCTCCTGAGTCACTGGGATTAAAGGCTTGCACCACTGTGCCCAGAGAGGCAAACTTTTAATACCCTAAAAAAAAAAAAAAGCATTTGGTTGTGGGCTGGGGTGTGGCTCAGTGGTAGAGCACATGCCTAGCTAGCATGTGTGAGGCACTGGGTTCAATCCCCAGCACCATATAAAACTAGAACAAAATAATGCTATTGTGTCCATCTACAACTAAAACCATTTTTATAAAAAAATATATTTTGTGTTAATTGCCTGTCCAAAAATATCAGTACCTGGCCTCATGCTTTCAGTTATTATTGGATCGGTATTTCTAAGATTATAGTAATTTTACTTCATAACCTGGCAGATGCTTTTCTGTATTCTGTCATTGATTTGAGAGAGAAAACTAGCTTAATTCTGTTTTTTTTTTAAAAAATTTTGTTTTTAGGAAACAGATATTTTTGAAAGCTTTCACAATGTTCTCATATTCAGTATTCTGTGATTTCACAAATGTATTTCTGGATTTTCCCCCTATTGTTGTTTTTGCAGTTAATCCTGTCCACTATTCAGTAAGCTATTCCAAGCTGAACATGAATGACTTGCTTCAGCCTATAAATATTCTCAATTATTTATGATACATTCTTCTTAAATTCTGTTGATTTTTAAAAAATCATAGTCAGATGTGGACCTTCTAAATTTCCATGTCCATTTTCATATTTTTCTGTCTCTTTATGTATTTGGAGATTTTCCTTAATTTTCTTTCACAACTTGATTATTACAGCAGTAATTCTTTTATTCTTGGGGAGTTTTGTATTATTATTCCTTTTACAAATAGTTTCCTATTTTAAAAATGCAACATCTCTTCATATCTCAGATTATACTGGAATTCTCACTTTCCTCCCTTACGACACAACTTGACCTTCTGGATCTAGTGCTGTCTTTTGGCTGTTTTCATGCAGATGGTTCTCACCACATGTTATGACCCCTGACCACCTGCACACATTCTAGAGCTCCATGGTGTGGTCACCCTGTGTAAATGGAAGGGGACTCTGGATGTTCTCCTGTTGCTGAACGGCATGGGTTAGCAGGCCCTCCATGTGCACAGGGAGGGGTGCAAGCCACGGAGAGGCTCCCACATATTAAAGAGGAGGCCTTCCCTTAGGTTGCTACTCGTCACTCTCAAGCTGCTGAGGTTATTTGTAAATACAGTTTCTTTAATGGTAATTTTTTTTATCACCTTCTTGTTTAAAACTTACAACTACATCCCGAGTTCAATTTCCATCACTATGAGAAAAAAATTTTTTCCAACAATACATATAACACTAAATTTCTGTGAGCAGAACATCCTAGTCCCTTCCCCAGAAGGAACACTGACCAGTTAGATCTGTTCAGAACTTTTCCTAAGCATTTTTTACTTACATAAATCCCTTACTTTTTTTTTTTCTCCAGTACCAAAGATAAACCCAGGGGTGACCTAGTAGTGAACTACATCCCCACCCCTTTTTATTTTAAATTATTTTGAGATAAGGTCTCACTAAGTTGCTAAGGCTGGCCTCCAACTTGTGATCCTCCTGTCTCCCAAGTTGTTGGAATTACAAGTGTTTGCCATTGCACCTGGCTAGAAATGTGCTTTTAAATATATAATACATACAAATTCTGCAATTTTTAGTCTTTTAATCAAATCCATACCAATATTGTCAGTCCATTCTTTTTAACTGCTGGATAGAACTTGCAGTTGTGAATGCATTGATGGAAACTGAAGATTGTTTCCTAGGGTCCACAAGCCCGAGGCCAGAGCAGCGAGCGGTGAGCATTCAAAAGGCTGCCTCCGCTGTAGCCGGGTGACAGCACTCACTCCACACCACTGACAGTGCGTGACAGTGTACTTTAAACTTGCAACTTAATGCTGGTGAGGCTGAGCAGGGACCCTGATTTACAACCTGCATTCTCTGGTCCACTCGCATCCTTTGCCAGAACTCAGGGGATCCTTTAGCAATCTAGTGGACATTGCCGCACTCCAGGGAGCAGCTATCTCCTCTGGATGTCAGGAACTCTTTCACCCCTTTTGCCTTTTGCAGAAACACTGACAATCTTGCTTGACCTTCTTTTCTTTTGTTTGGCAGTTTTTATGCTGACCAATTGGCTAAAGGGGATTTGGAGGGAAGACCAAGTCGAGTGCTATTTTTATTGCTTTTCCTAATGACAGTTTTAAAAAATATATATTTTTAGCTGTCAGTGGACCTTTATTTATATGTGGTGCTGAGAATCAGACCCAGTGTCTCTCACATGCTAGGTAAGCACTCTACCACTGAGCCATGACTCCAGCCCCCCACTGACAATTTTGATACTGGCAAATTGCTTCCCAGAAACCTGTATAAATTCACACTCCACCCCACAGCAGTGCATAGCAGGTTCTCCTTTCCTCTGATTGCACCATGCAAAATTTTATCAATGTACTGCAAAATGGTTCTTCAAATTGTATTTCTGGCCAGTGAGATTCAGTACTTATCACACACTTATCACTTGATAAATCTTCACATTCTTTGCTGTTGGAGGAAGAAGTGTGTTCTCCCAATCTGGGATTTAAAAACTTTTTACTTTGTTTATCTTTTAAGATTTTTATTTGTTCTTTTTAGTTATATATGACAGTAGAATGTTATACTATCTTTGACCATATATAAAGACTTTTATGAAATTCTTAGCAAACCTGAATCTTCATGTGCAAGGGGAGGGAAGTTTGTGATCTCACATATTTAGGGAGATTGTCCTCATTCAATGATTTTACATTGTCCTCTAGTGTTTGTTCCACATTTAGATAACTATTTAAAGCAACTTTCATGTACAGGAGGAGAGGATTCCTGTTTTTTTTTTTGGGGGGGGGCGTGGGCAGTGGTACCGGGGATTGAACTGCACTTGACTTCACACCTATTTTGTATTTTATTTGAGCAACATCCTCACTTCTATTTTGCATTTTATTTAGAGACAAGGTCTCACTGAGTTGCTTAGCACCTTGCTGTTGCTGAGGCTGGCTTTGAACTTGTGATCCTCTTGTCTCAGCCTCCAGAGCTGCTGGGATTACAGGTGTGTGCCACCATCCCCGGCTGGGGAGTAGTTTTGAACAGAGCAGAATCAATTTTTCCCAAGTACTGAAACAACTGTTGTCAAATATGACTTTTATTATGCATTTTCTTTATATGTGTGTCTTTATGAATGTATATGTCTATTCACACACACAATCATTCACCAAGAGAGACACATACTTCAAGCCGTGGAAAATTTTCAGGATTTTGTTAGGTTTAAATAATCTGTATATTAATTTGTGGGCTACTGATATCTATATCATGCTGAAAATTCCCATAGAGGTGGATAAATGTCTACTCAAGTCTTCATTTCCATCCTCCTTTTATCTCATATGTTCAGATGTGAGCTGGTTACTGTGTTGCTGCACACTCAAAGCCTTCGAGTCAGGAGGAGTATAAACAGTACAGCAGGGTAGATACGAGGGAATGGCGAGTGGTTTGAACTTTGGAGAACTAGAAATAACATTGTCATAAAAGGTATTAGGTTCATTTAAAACTCAATGCACATTAAACCAATGTTTGTGGACAGCCAGTTGGAGTATCCATCTATAGTTCTACTTTATCTTCTCCTTTGGGTTTGGAATTTTAGAAATGTAACAGCTTTTTTAGTTTAAATGACATAAGTTTGAGACAATTCATCCACCTGGAATTAGGAAAGCAGGTCAAACTTTATTCTCTATCTTCACTGGTTACGGATGAAGTTTTATCTAGTTTTAAAAATTTGTTGTTTTGTTTATATGTAAATGAGGAACACATCTTGGTTCTTTTTAAAATATTTTTTCTCTCTCTTTTTTTTTAATCTTTTCTTTTTTTGGAACTGGGAATCAAACCCAGGGCTTTGTGAATGAGAGGCAGATGCTTTGCTGCTGATCTAAATCCCAGCCCTCAGTTCTCTTTTGAAAAGTGATTTTGCATAAAATCTAGCTTCTGAGAACTCTTGAATTTCTATTGAAGTTGTCCTTGTTACCAGTGGTCATGTATCCACATCTCTGCATTCTGAAGTAAAGCCACATTACCCTGCAGCAGAGATGCTAATGAGAATTGCAGTAGATCTCACCACCTACACTGCTGCTCCTAAGGAAAGGTCTCACAACTGCTCGGCCGACACTCTTGGTCGATTTCTTATGGTGAAGTCGAACAGCTCTTTGTATGCCATGGTCTTTAATTCTACATTAACATTTGAGTTATTATCATGCTAGGCACTCTGCTGAGCAATTTACATGCATTATTTAATTTTCTCATTAAGTTTTGAGGTAGTACCATTATTATTCATATAAGACTTAAGTTTACAAAGGAAAAACTGCTTCCTCAAAATTAGGGCTAGAAAATGGAAGAGTCAGGATTGGACACCAGATCTACTGGATGTTGAAATAAGTACTTAATTTTGAACAAATATTCAGGAAAAGAGAGGGTTTGGGAAGGTAGTCTGGAATAAGGTATTGTCTGTGGGAGGGCAGGAGGCTTTTTAGGTTATTTTGAGAAATGTGATGAGAATGATGGAATGTCACTGAGGGATTTTAATGAGGCAGAAATGATGTGACCTACACCTCTTTTTTTTTTTTTAAATACAAGTTTGGCTGAAATGCTGATGATGGACAGAGGCAATGGTGCTCCTTGTAAACCAACCAGAAGCCATTTCCATATGCGATAGATTCATACGTATTGGATAAGGGTGATATGATGGAAATGCATTAAATGGGTCAGCTTTTGTACATATTAGGAGATCAAACCTACAGGTCTTGTCAACTGATTAGATGTAGAGGGTGAGGAAGAGGAAATGGTCAAGAATGTCTCCATAGTATGAATTTTCTCATGATGAGAAAGGTGTGCACGCTGCCTGAAAGATTTCCTGCAATCTTTACATTCATAGGGTCTCTCTCCAGTATGAATTCTCTGGTGTAGAGTAAGAGAGCCACTATAGCTAAAGGCTTTCCCACAAATATTACATTCATAAGGCTTCTCTCCAGTATGAATTCTCTGATGCTGAGCAAGGCCTGCATTCTGGCTAAATGTTTTCCTACATTCCTTGCACATATAAGGTTTTTCTCCAGTATGACTTCTCTGGTGTTGTGCAAGGGAGGAACTATTGCTAAAAGCCTTCCCACATTCCACACATTCATAGGGCTTCTCTCCAGTGTGAACCCTCTGGTGCTGATCCAGGTATGCAATCTGGCTGAAGGCTTTCCTGCATACTTTGCATTCATAGGGCTTCTCTCCAGTGTGAACCCTCTGGTGCTGAGCCAGGTGTGCGTACTGGCTGAAGGCCTTTCTACATTCCTTACATTCATAGGGTCTCTCTCCTGTATGAATCCTCTGATGTACAATTAGGTATCCACGATGGCTAAAGGCCTTCCCACACACATGACATACATAAGGTTTCTCTCCTGTGTGAATCCTCTGATGTTGAGCAAGAAATGAACCATTACTAAAGGCCTTTCCACACTCAATACATTCAAAAGGTCTCTCTCCAGTGTGAACCCTCTGGTGCTGAGTCAGGTGGGCGATCTGGCTGAAGGCCTTTTTACATTCCTGACACTGATAAGGCCTCTCTCCAGTGTGAACCCTCTGGTGCTGAGCCAAGTGTGCGTTCTGGCTGAAGGCCTTCCTACATTCTTTACACTCAAAAGGCTTCTCCCCAGTATGTATTCTTTTATGTTGAGCTAGGTTTGCACTCTGGCTGAAGGTTTTCCCACATTCCACACATGCATAGGGTTTCTCTCCAGTATGAATTCTCTGATGGAGAGTAAGTGATGAGCTCTGATTGAAGACCTTCTCACATTCATTACATTTCAAAAGTTTCTTTTCTACATACACCTTCTTATGTTTCATTTCAACAGATTTTTTTCGATAACATCTCTTTTGTGGTTCACACTTATGCACTCTTTCTTTGGTGGGGAATCTCTGATGTATATTTAGTCTTGCATCCAGACTGAATGTTTCCCAAGATTTATTATACTCATTACTTTGATCTTCAGGGAGGATTTCTTTATGAGTGATGGTAAGTTGATCAGAATGTAACTCCTGACTTCCAAACTTGTTCTTAAACCAGTCCTCACTTACACAGGGTTTCCAACTGGGGCACACAAGGCTATGAGAGAGATGGCTTCTTCCCAGTGTCACTGCTTTGGCAGATTCTTGATAAACATCTTGCTTTGATGAAAAGTCACTGTTTTTAAATACATACTCCCAATCTGAAATATATCAATAAAACAAACATATTTTGAATTTTTTTCATTATAAGAAATTTCTAAAACAAAAATGGGAAAATGAAATGCTAAAGTATTTCAAAATTAATGTCTCAATGCATTCTAAGACTTATGAAAGTACAAACAACAAGAGCTTAAGAAAGGTGATTCAGGAAATAAAATAATCATATATAACCAGTAAGGTGATATTAGAAGAGCAAAACACTGAAGAGGTCATTGAAAATCACAATTGCTGTTTTATATCTAAGTTAATATTATAGTCTTCATCTTTCCTCTATTGCTGCAGTTTATTCTGCATTCAATCTAAGTTGGTTATCTTTAAAAAGTAGATTTTAAAAACTAAGTGCAGTGTTGCCTGCCTGTAATCCCAGCAACTCAGGAGGCTGAGGACCACAAATTCAAAGCCACAAGACCTAGGCAACAAGACCCTGTCTCAAAATTAAAAAAAAAAAAAAAAAAAAAAAGAAGGCCTGAGGATGGGGTTGGTGTATCTCAGTAGTAGAGTGCCCCCTGTGTTCAATTCCAGTAACAACAACAAAAAGCACCAAGTGTAAAATGTCAAGAATATAGCTAATAAGCCTCCATGGATCCCCCAAAACTAAAGACACACCAGAAGCCTTAGGATGCACATGAAACGGCTTGTTCATCAAGCTATATGTGTAAACTTTTGCAATTAGAGAAAGGTCTTTCTGAGCATAATTTTCTACATGCTAAATTCCAACTAAACATACATTTTCTTTCAACTGATCCTTGAAGCTAAGATTCCTTTACATAAAACAAAAATTTTGTATCAAGCTACTTGCTTTTATTAACAGCCCAGGCCTTAATCTGCCTTCTCCTTTCCAGTGATTTCTTACTAGTGTACATTAAAATCAAAATCCCTAGCCTGGTCTATAGTCCTGTGGGGCCTGTTCTCTGACCCCTTCCACCTGTCCTTCTCCTGCCTACTGGGCTTCAGCTAGTGGGTATTTCCACTTGAAAGTGCCTGCCCTGAATACCTTCTTCCCTTCCTTAGTGGGCTGCACTCAGGGTCTGCTCACACTTACCTCTCTAGGTGACCTTCCTTGACCTCCTAATATAAATTACTACACACTTAGCACTATCTATTCTTTGTCTGGCTCTTCATAGCACTTAACTTAGTTCGCATTATCATACATGTTAATTTAATCTCTGTCATCACGAGAATGGACACTTGTATATGCAGGAACCATCCCTTCCTATTTCTTGAATACCCATTGCCTAGAATAGGCCAGAATTAGGATTGTGAATCAATAACACTTGAAATGCCACATTAATTTGTCCTTTCATTTGAATGATCTGCTTGCACAAATAAAGTAAATGACTGATATACTACTAGAAAACTGGATATATCACAGTAGATAAGGAAATGTGGTAGAAAACTATCAAGACAACAGATCTGAACTGCAGCTGATTACTCATGCTGCCTTTCCTCAATGCTCTTGCAGACTCCTACCCTGTAGCTAAATAATCACACACCAACTCATGAATGTCCCCTAGAAAGTCAACATGAAGAAGCAGTCCTGAAGACTCAATCTAGGCAAACTCAGGATTAAATCCATAAAACTGTAATAAAAAAATAAAAATAAAAGTAGTGTGTTTTTTAATATTAATTCTCAATGGACTGATAAGTGAGGGATCTATATTATATTCATTATAGCCATACAACTCTCAGAGTTTAGAATATATCAGAATTACCTACAGAACTTGTTAAAATATAGATTGCTGCACCTCAGGAGGCTGAGGCAGGAGAATCACAAGTTAAAGGCCAATCCTGGCAACTTAGTGAGACCCCTCCCTCAAAAAAAAATAATAGTTCACTAAATGCCTACACACAGAAATGAGTTGGGATGCAGCTTATAGTAGTACACCCCTGCGTCCAACCCCCAGTACCACAAATAGAAAAAACATGCAGATCGCTGGGCCCCATGCACAGAGTTTCTGAGTAGGTCTGGGAAGTGAGCTGAATATCCAAATTTCTAATGAGTTCCCAGGTGACGCTGCTCATCTCAAGATCATATTTTTGAGTACTACTGCCCAACAGCAGCCACTGAAAACATAATGTAAAAAGGGTACATCTAAAAAGCCAGGAAATAAATTAACATTCTAAAACATATTCAAATAAGCTAAAAGAAGAGGAAAACAGAAGAATAAAAGAGCAGAGAAAAAAAATGATAATGGCAGACCAAAATCAAGCTACCTAAATAATTACAGGTTGAGTATCTCTTATGGTCAGAACCAGAAGTATTCTGGATATTAGATTTTTTTTTTTTGCATTTTTGAAAAATAAAAATATATAAATAAAAATAAACATCTTAGGGATGGGACATAAGTGGAAACACAAAACTAATTTACATTTCATATAAACTTTCATGTAGCTTGAATGTAATTTTACACAATATTTTAAATAATTTTATGGATAAAACTAGTCTCATGGTGTGGAACTTTGCACATATGGCATGTCAGCATTCAAAAGTTTCAGATTTTGGAGAATTTCAGATTTCTGGATTGGGCATGTTCAACCTGCATACTAAATATTAATGGATTTCCTAACCAGTTAAAGGGTAGCAAGTGTAAGAAAGACACCCATGCTGTCCACAGTAACATGCAAACAGTAAGTACAGGCCAGAGTGCCTCTGTTCATACAGATAAAACAGACTTCAAAGGAGAGCATCACCAAAAACAAGGAGGGATATATCACAATGATAAATGATCAAGTCATCAGGAAATTATAATTATTAATGTGTATGCATCTAATACATAGCCTCATATACCTTAAAACAAAATCTGACAATATTAAGTACTAAAGGATACTGTATAATCATAGTAAGTGATTTCAACATGTTATATCCAGCAATTGATAAAACTAGATAAAAATTAGTAGATACATAGAAGATAATGTCTGGATTAACTAACTTGATGTAATTTATATTAACAGAACACTATGTACATCAACTGTACAATAGGTATTGATGGCATGTTCAATAAGATAGACAGAATGCTGGTTCATAAGCCAAGTCTTAGTAAACAGTATGTTCTTTAACTTCAACAGAATTAAATTCAAAATGAATAAATAATGATGTCTTGTAAAATTCACACATCTGGGAAATTATATAGAAACAATTCATTTCTATATAATTCATAGGTCAAATAGTTTATTAAAAGAAATCAGAAAATATCTTATATTGACCAATAATGATAATATAACACACGGAAATTTGTAAGATGTAGCTAAAACAGTACTTAAAGGAAACTCTTTAAGATACTCATAGTAGAAAAAAACCTAAAAGTATAAACATCAACAATCTAAGTGAGAAGAAAAACCACAATAAACCCAAGGAAAATAGAAAAAAAAAAAAGCTAACTAGAGAAAATAACAAAATAGAAAACAATTGATAGAGAAGTAAAACCAAAAGTAGGTTCACTGAAAAGATCACTAATTAGGGAGAAAAAAAAAAAAGAATAGAAGTCAGAAAAATCAGAGCTTTAAAGAGGAGTCTGGTGTGATCGAATGCACTTGGAATCCTAGCCATGCAGGAGGCTAAGGCAGGAGGATCCCAGGTTCAAGGCCAGCCTCAGCCACTTAGAAAGACCCTGTTTCAGAATAAAAATACAATGGGCCGGGGATGCAGCTCAATGGTAGAGCACCTCTGCATTTAATTCCCAGTACCAAAGACAAAACACAAAACAACAACAACAACAACAACAAAAAACAAACTGAAAAGAATTATCATATACCCTATAGACATTAAGAAGAAAATATTATGAACAACATATACATAAACTGGACAACTCAAATAAACTGTACAAATCCCTTGAAAGATATACCCTACTAGAGTTGATTCAAGAAGAATTATATAACAAAAATAACCCTTATATCCATTAAATCTATTAATGGATAAAAATATTCCACATAAACAACATTCCAGGCATAGATGTCTTAACTATTCCACCAGTGTAGGGGAAAAACAATTATACCCAACTCTTTCATAAAATAGGAGAGGATGAAATACTTCCCAACTTGTTTCCGTAATGCCAGCATTATCTTGGTAAGGAAATTACAAAAGGGTAAATCCATGTAGCATAGGAACATAAATGTAAAATATTTAGTCAAACGTTGCCAAATCAAATACAGGACAATATGAAAAGCATAATCTTGACCAAGTAGAGTTTTATCCCTGGAAAGCAAATTGGTTTAATATTTGAAAATCATCAATGCAATTCATCATATTAATACAGAATAAAGATGAAAAACTGCATGATCATGTTTAGAATGAGTATTTGACCCATTACAAAAAATTTTAGGAGCTGGGGCTAGAGCTCAGTGGTAGAACACTTGCCTAGCATGTATGAGGCACTGGGTTCAATTCTCAGCACCACATATAAATAAATGAATAACATAAAGATCCATCAATATCTAAAAAATATATTTTAAAAGGAATTGCATTGAATTCATCAAGATTATCTAAGGAAAGAACTATAGCTTACATCAAGGGAATAGGGATAGAATACATTTCCTCTCAAGAATGGCACAACATAAATGTATTTGTTCTTACCACTTGTATTCAACATTGTATAGGAGATGCTAGCTATTGCAATACATCAAGAAAAAGAAATGATCAGAAAGAAATAAAACTGTATATGCAGATGTTATAACTGTGTTTTCGAAAAATCCTCAGAAATATATAAAAGAATTCCTATAATCCTATATGAAACTCTTAAAGATACTTATAGTAGAAATGAGTTAATATAAAAACACTTTACATTCTTTGCATACAAGCAGAACACTACTGGAAAACAGAATTTTTAAAAATTATATTTATAGTGATACCCAAAAACCATAAAAGATTTAGGAAAAAATTTAAAAAGCTATACAACATCACTACACTAGATACTATAAAATAATCCTATGAGAAATTAAAGTATACTAAATGGCTTATTAAAACACACTCATGGGGGCTGAAGTTGTGGCTCAGTAGTAGAACGCTTGCTTAGCATGTGTGAGGCATTGGGTTGGATCCCCAGCACCACATAAAAATAAATAAATAAAAGTATTATCTCCATCTACAACTAAAAAAATATTTAAAAAAACATACTCATGATTAGAAGAATCAAAAAAAATTTTTTTTCAGGGAGGGATTACCTGGGATTGAACTCAGGGGCACTTGACCACTGAACCACACCCCCAGCCCTATTTTGTATTTTATTTAGAGACAGGGTCTCACTGAGCTGCTTATTGCCTTGCACTGCTGAGGCTGGCTTTGAACTCATGATCTTCCCGCCCCAGCCTCCTGAGCTGCTGGGATTACAGGCATGTGCAAGTGCACCTAGCTAAGAATGTTGTTAAGGTGTCACTTCTCTCAATGGGTACATGGATTCAACATAATCCCAACCAAAACCCACCCTTGTTGAAGAGAAATTCTAAACTTCATTCTAAAATGCAAATGACTTCTAATAGTCAAAGTGATTTAACAAATGGCACAATCTGATATCAAAATTAATCATAATGCTACAGCAATCAAGGCGATGTGGTTCTGGTGAAAGGATAAATGTATAAATTTCCAGGTGCAATGGTACCTGCCTGAAACCCCAGTGGCTTGGGGGACTGACACAGGAGGATCTCAAGTTCAAGACCAGCCTCAGCAACCTAAAGAGACCCTAAGCAACTCAGTGAGACCCCCGTCTCAAAACAAAATAAAAAGCTGGGAATGTATCTCAATGGTAAATTGTCCCCAGGTAAATCCCCAGTACAAATAGAACAGAACAGAACAAAACTACAATACCACCATTATAATGACTTAGATTAAAAATAATACTGATAATAACAATATTTTTTGAGGGCATAAAGCAAACAAGATGCTTATATATTGCTAGAGGTTATGTACAATGGACAGTCCCTTTGGGAATCTTTGGCAGTTTCTTATGAAGTTAAACGTATAATTATCATATGATCTAGTTTAGATATTTACTCAAGAGAAATGAAAAGAACTGTCTACCCAATGTTCTTCACATGACAGCTTCATAGCAGCTTTATTTATAATAGCCCAAACTGGAAACAACACAGGTGGGTGATCTGTTTATCCATTCACAATGGATGCTATTCAATGTAAAACTCCTCACCAATCAAAGGATCAATGTGGGACTGAGGTTGTGGCTCAGTGGTAAAGCGCTTGCCTCGAGTGTGAGGCACTGGGTTCAATCTTCAGCACCAGGTAAAAACAAAGATACGGTGTGTCCACCTACAACTAAAAAGATAATAACCACAAAAAAAGGAGCCACATATTCATACATGAACAATGTGGGCAGATTTCAAAATCATCATGCCAATTAGAGATGCTGGACAGAACCTAAGCCACAGTAGATGATTTCATTTAGTTTGGCTGCAACCTAATCTAATGTGACAAAGAAAATGTCAGTATTCACTTGGAACTAGAGATGGAGAAAAGGGTGGACTGCACAGAGCTAGATGTAATCTTTTTTCTTTTTCCTTTTTTTTTTTTTGTGGTACAAGGGATGAAACTGGGGTCTTGGACATGCTCTACTCAGCTATTCCTCCACCCCATAAGTAGTCTTTTGGTATATAAATACTATGTGGCTTGATTGTGGTGGAGATTTAAGGATATATGCAAATATCAGAACTACTTAAGTTGTATAATTTATGTAGATACAATTTACTGTTTATAAATATCCTTAATATTAATAGGATCTAATAAAATACAATAGAACAAGTAGATCAAAATATATTAAAACCAGAAAATTATTTTTTAAACAATTCTTCAGTGAAAAGGAACTTTAAAATTGTAGATTATTTGGGAAATGGCAATAACAAAACTTTTAAATGTCAAAGTCTGTAGGAGAGAGTTCTAAAAAGAGATTTAAAATACATAGCTCTTAATAATTTCATTACTGAATAAAAGAAAATGAAATTAACATATTAAGCTCTCATTTCAGCAACATAGAGAACAAAATAAATAAGAAAATTAGAAGGAAAAAGTCAGTAAGGGAAGAAAAGCAAAAGAACAAAGAACTGAAAAAGAGAAGAGCAGTCACTAAAAAGAGAAATCCATTAGCTGGGTCTTGAAAAAGAAAACTGATTTATGAGTGGCAACCTAATAATTTTAAAAAAAAAAACAATGACTATATAAAGTAAGAAACTTGCCAGGCGTGGTGGCACATGCCTGCAATCCTGGCAATTCAGTAGGCTGAGGCAGAGAGATCAAAAGTTCAAGGTCAGCCTCAGCAACTTAGACCAAGTCTTAAAAAAAAAAAAAAAAAAAAAAGGCAGGGGCTGGGGATCTGGCTCAATGGTAGACTGCCCCAGTACTATCAAAGAAAAGACTAAAGAAACTGGGAGAGTGCTCGCCTAGCATGTGCAAGGCCCTGGGTTCAATCCTCAGCACCATATATAAATAAATAAATAAATAAAATAAAGCTTAAAAAAAAAAAGATTATTTTGTTCAAAATCATGGGAAAAAAATCTGATAATGAAAAGGATAGTTATGTAGAAAAAATTTTTTAACCAAAGACAAATCTACAGAGTCAATTTAATACAGAGGACCCTGAGAAAGTTGTCAAAGATCTGCTTTTGATAAGACTTTAAGTCTTTACCTCTCAAACTCTCAAGACAGGTGATCTCATTCATTCACACTGACATCTTTAGATTTTTTTTGAACCTCTGTCTTCCAATCCAGTTGCATGTTGCATTTCTACACTTGGAAACCTTCATATGTCATGAGAATACATTTTTTTCCCCAGCAAAATTCCTCATCTTTCCTCCCACCAAGATATTTTCTTATGATTGTTTCTATTAAGTGCTATCACCTTCCAGTTACTTAGACTTGAAAATAAAACTAGAGCTGGGCATGGTGGCCAATGCCTGTAATCCCAGAGGCTCGGGAGGCTGAGGCAGGAGGATCACAAGTTCAAAGCTAGCCTCAGCAAAAGCGAGGTACTAAGCAAGTCAGTGAGACCCTATTCCTAAATAATATACAAAATAGGCCTCAGATGTGGCTCAGTGGTCAAGTACCCTTGAGTTCAATCCCTGGTATGCCAATTAAAAAAAAAAAAATAGAAATGCTTTATTTTTTATTTTTTTTATGGTTTATAAAACTCTTTAATAATCCCAAGAATTTAGCAAGGTGTTGTGCTCAAAACAGAAACTCAGTGAAATAATAAGTAAATAAAAAATGAATCAATCCTTCAATCAAAGGAATAAATATCTGGAAAGGAACAAAGTCTGGATTTAAACAAATAGAATGAATAACTATTGCAAAACTAGACAAGGACAAGGAGACACTGACATTTGGACCCAGAGATCAGGAAAATGAGTCATCGGAGAAGGTAATAATTTTCGAGAGAAGATATACAAAAACAATAAATCAAAGCACTGTGCTAAAAATATTACTTCTCAGGCCTCTGCTTTGAATAGAGCCCCCAGGAAGCATCCATTCTGAGTTGGAGCTGCACTGTCCCTAGCAGTGTGCCTCCTAGTTCTCTCACTCACCAGGGCATGTTACTCTTGTTCCTTCCTTCTTCACAATCCAGGGCTCTTTTCCTTGCTCCAATAATGAGATCACATCTGGCTTAGAAAAAGAAATCCCTGCTTATAAGAGATAAAAGAGGAATTAGCCACACCTGTAAATTAGTCAAGTTTCTTGGTCATCAGGACTGGGGGGGGGGTGAGGGGGGCATCACAGTCAGAAGATAAAGAAGTGGTAAAATATTTTGAAAAATGGGGAAGATGAAATTGCAGAACCACACTAATGAAGATCCGAATTCTACAAAACTCCACCTATTTGGGGGAGCATAAGAAAAAAGACTTTTATATGGAGTCTTGCTATGCTGGCCAGGCTGGCCCTGCTGGGCTCTACAACTCTCCTGTCACAGCCTCTGAGGTAGATGAGACTACAGGCACACACCAGGGCACCCGGCTCAAGAAAGAATCCTTCAGGAGGCACACTGGAGGCTCTCCAAACACTGGAACGCACACCTGCATAGAAATTTTGAATTATAAGGAGTCCTCCTTACCCAGTGATACCAGGCTCCTATAGTTCTCCAACATGACCTTCCTGTACAAAGTCCTCTGAGTGGGGTTCAGCCATTCCCACTCCTCTTGAGTGAAACTTACAGACACATCCCCAAATGTCACCAAATCCTGAAATGACACAAACACATATTTGTTCAATTAATGTTCAAATTCTACTACGGGCCTAAGTGAAAGAGTTAAATTGTCTTCAGTTTTGGATATAATATTGCATATAGAAAAATCTTCTGACAGTGTACTAAGTTCATAGCAATTCGTGTCAAATAATGGTAGATGACTTTTTTGCTTGCTTTGATGGAAAGTATACAATTTCAGAGAGAATAGCTACTGGGATGGAAAAGATCTACCACACATACATACATACACACACAAAATTGGGCTGACGGAAAACTGTAATCAATCAAGAATAAACTAATAGGTTATTCATACTAAATGTCAGGGCATTTCTCAATCTGGGGAAACCAGGATACACTAGGGAAGTAAACAAGATATTATATAATAAGTAATGGATGAATATTCTTTAAAGTAGTCACTAAAAGATTATAAAGTTGATAGCACTTAATAAGATAATAAGGGGAAAATGCTTGATTTATCAGAAGGCAAAAAAGGAGAAATAAAGGAACCAAGAAAAAATGGTATAAATGGAAAACAAACAGAAATATGGTAGGTTTAGACACACATTCATGAGTAATAACATTAAATGAAAATGTACTAAACACTAATTAAAAGACCAAGATTACCATATTGGATTTTAAAAAAACAACATACGCTATTTGTAAGAGTCATATGGTAATCTCTGTTGGCAGAGATTCTCAAAAGGTATGCATTAAAATAACACTGAGAGACAGGCACAGTGGTGCATGCCTTTAATTCCAGTGACTCAGGAGGCTGAGGCAGGAGGATCATGAGTTCCAACCAAGCTCAGCAAAAGCGAGGTGTTGAGCAACTCAGTGAAACCCTGTCTCTAAATAAAATACCAAAAGAGGGCTAGGGATGTGGCTCAGTGGTTGAGTACTCCTGAATCAATCCCCAGTACCAAAAAAAAAAAAAAAAAAAAATCACACTGGGGTGATCATGGTAGACCACGCCTACAATCACATGACACAGGAGGCTGAGGCAGAAGGCTGCAAGTTCTACTGGTAGTGTTGCTGTAGATTATTTCTCACTCACCAGGGCATGTTCCTCTTGCAGGCCAAATCTGGCCTGCATTTCTCATACAACCATTCTCTGTATTTTAATCTTTTTTTAATGTTTAACCTACAAAATCTCTAAGTGTAAGGAAGAACGTTTTTTTCTAAGTGAATAATCCATTCTTTTCCCACTGACTTAAAACCATACCAGTACATTATCATATAATAAGCAAACTAGTAGATGTTAAATTCTTCATAGACAATGTCTATTTTTATTTTCCACAGCACTTAGTTCTCAGTCTTTAGTAACTACGTGTTCAGTGAATGAGTAAATATTTTCCATTCTTATGGAATTCTTATATTTGTTTCTGGACATTATATACTGATCTTTTCATGTTTCTTCTAGTTCCAATTCCATAGGCTATTACAATTTTCATTATTATAGATTTTTTCCATTTTTTTAAAAAATGTAGCTTCAAGTGCTTCCCCCATAACTCTCTTTTTTTTAAGAAAGTATCCATTTTCCACATTAATTCCACTAATCTTAACTGGATGGCCTAGAATATCATAGCTGCAGCCTCCTGTGAACTCAGGATGTCCCTAAAATGAGAATTTACTATTCCCCTAAAATTCTACCCTTCAAACTCCACCAAAGTACCTTCAAAAAGCCCTGCCTCCGCTGATCCACACTCTTATGCTCAAGATACAATACATCTCACTCCTCAAAATCACCTCAAATAATGTGCTCAGTGGAGGTGCGGAATGTTCTTTGAATAAAGATGAAAATACGAATTAGGGGAAAATAAGGAAGTTCATGGCTTTTTGGGGACTTCCTTTTTTTCTGGAATGAAAGGTATAAGGAGCAAGTCACTCATAAATGAGATTTTTTTAACTTGTTTTTTAATTTTTATTTTTGTTTATTTTTTAAATTTTCATGTGGTGCCAGGGATCGAACCCAGTACCTCACGCATACTAGGCAAGTGCTCTACCACTGAGTCCAACATCGGCCTCATAAATGAGATTTTGTTAGGCTATGGCATTATGGAAGAGAAGTTAAATGTTTATATAACCTGAAAAATAAGATGGTGTTTTAGAGAAATGCTTCTTACCTTGGACATGGCTTTAAGACTTCTAAGAGTTTATGAGTTCTTCTGTCCTCCTCCTTCAAATTCCCCTCTGGAAGAGGGGCAGGGTCCTGAGAAAATCGAGCTGGAGAGGGAAAAAGAAACCATAGAGTGCCAGATTAGCTCAGCAGCTCCCAAGGTGACCAGCCTAGAAACAATCTTTCCTTCCCTCTCTTCCTCCCGCAACTGAAGCTTTCAGTGTCACTGAATTGAGACATTTATCTAAACTGACAATTGTTTTTCAAAAGAATTCTGAACTTACAATTTACAATTACATCTCAAAAATACAATGTATAATTTGTGCATAAATTATCTACTCATTTTAAATTATAAACAATAACTGGAGCTGAGGCTCAGTGATAGAGCACACTGCACATGTGAGGTACTGTGTTTGATCCTCAGCACCACACAAAAATAAATAAAGATACTGTGTCCATCTACAACTAAAAAAAATTTCAAAAAAAAAAAAAAAGGACAATAACAGCAACTACAGAATGGCATTATCAAGGAAGGATTTTCCACTCTTTTCATTCATGAAGGCTTTCACCAGTGGAATTACAGAGGTTGACTCCAGAGGCTGAGGCAAGAGTATCAAGTCTGAGGCCAGCTTCAGCAACTTAGTAGGACCCTGTCTAAAAAAATAAAATCCAAAACATACCCAAAGTGTCATGGTAATAATTAAGTCAAACTGGAAATGAGGTCTTAATTTTTAGTCTTTCTACCAGATGATGATGTTGAAAGGAAATATGTCCAACCTTTTAAAAAGAATTAAGAGAGAAAGCCACCAAGTGAATGTATTGGGAAAGCACCTTTACACAGAGTGGGCATCAGAGGGGTCATGTTGTCTGAAGACATTAGACAAGAGTCAGGACAACCTGCTTTGGGTCCTGGCTGATAACAAATGCATCTAAAAACCAAGCTCTTAACTTCTCTGAGCATTTCCTGAGAAAGGGTCGATGGAGGTAGGAGACAAGGCTCTTGGCGGACAGTCATTGGAACCTCTTAACCCTGAGTTCTTTTCCACTAGAGCTCACTAACTTGAAGAATAAAGCAATAAGCAGCAGCATAGGGCTGGAGGTATAGCTCAGTGGTAGAGTGCTTGTCTAGCATCTGGCGTCCCTGAGTTCCATCTCTAGCACTGCAGGGGAAAAAACAAACTAAAACAACAACAACAAAACAGAACAAAGCAGCATAGTGAGTATAAGAAGTTCTAGCTGGGCACCGTGGCCCACACCTGCAATCCCATCTAACCAGGAAGCTAAGGCGTAGGATCCCAAGTTTCAATCTAACCTGGGCAATTTAACAAATTGTGTCTCAAAATAAAACACAAAGAAGGCTGGGGACGTAGTAAAGTGGTAGAGCACTTGCCCAGTATATGGAGTGGAGAGGGCCCTGGGCCCGGGATTAGAAGGCTTAAATTCAAACACCCAGTCCACCACACCCAGCTACCCTCAGTCCAACTGTGTTCAGTCTCACATGGTCCCACAGTGACAGTCTTACACGGTCAGACTCCAAAGGTCATACCATCTGACACAGTCATAATCCCAGTTACAGGACCTCTGATACATGGTGGCAGGGGTTCACTGTCACACAGTGTCATGTGCTGTACTGTCACAGTCCAGATCACAGTGTCATGTTGTCACATGGTGACAGACATTCCATCTCAGTCTCATACACTGTTGTGCCTCCCCCACATGCTGACACCCTCTCATACTGTCACAGTGTTACACACATGCTCTCAGCCTCACAGCAGTATTCAGGGAGTCACGGGCCCCATCTCACATGATGGGGTGGTCTCATACTATCATAGAGAGCATCAGACACATTTTCAGTCTCCCACATTGTTACAGGGTGGTACAACTAACACACACTGTCCAGGCTCCCTTGCATAGATTTGTAGATCTCATACTGTCACACAATGTCACAACTTCACTTCCAGTCTTACAAGGGTGTCATGGGCCCCCTAATACTTGGTGACACAATTCACACTATCATACTCTGAAAGCCTCAGCTGTGAGCACAGCCTGCGCATGTGAGCGTGGTGTCACCTGTCACACAATGTCACTCTCGTCTCAGTGGCAAGCACAGCCTGTGCACACTTGTGTGGTGTCACACTATCACAGTGTCACATTCTCACAGCCTCACATGCCAGCATGGCCCATGCACATTGGCACAGTGTCACACTGTCACACAGTGTCTCAGTCTCAGCTGCAAGCATGGCCCATACACGCCGTTACACTGTCACAGTGTCACACTCAGTCTCAGTTGTGAGCTGGGTCAGCACACACTATCACACTCAATCTCAGCCATGAGCACAGCCCATGCACGCTGTCACAGTGTCACACTCTCAGTCTGAGCTGTGAACACAGCCCATGCACTCTGTCACGCTGTCACACAGTGTCACACTCTCAGTCTCAGCCGCGAACACAGCCCGTGCACTCTGTCACGCTGTCACACACAGTGTCACACTCTCAGTCTCAGCATCGAGGACGGCCCGTGCACGTGGGCGCGATGTCATACTGTCACCCCCACAGTCTCAGCCGCAAGCACGGCCCGCGGGCGCGGTGTCACACCGTCAGACACAGTGTAACACTCAGTCTCGGGCGCGGTGTCCCTGGTCGCACAGGTCGCGCCCTCCCACGCCGTCCCCCGGCCCCGC